ACCCTATTCATGTCAATTCCCCTCTTTGGTTAAGGATTCTTGTTTGTGGGATCCCCCGTTTTAATGCAAACGCCACCGGGGAGACCTAGGGATCAAACCAGAATACATTAGTTCTAGCAGGTTATTTTCCACAATCTAGCAGCAGTGTTAGCAAGATGGGCTATACTTATCAAAAACAGATGATGGAAAGAAGAAAGGTTTCTGACTCCGGGAAGAGACACAGCTGGCAGAAGGTTATCACAGAGGTGGGAGGGTTGGGCTGAGTGAGGTTGGTAGGGAAGGCTTTAGGGCAATGTACAAAAGTGGGAAGACAAAGGTAGAAAAAATGCTTCTGGAACCAGCTAAAAACTTGGCCATCTTGCTTTGGCTTCAAGAACCATGAAAGAGATAAGGAGGACACACTTATTCTTATTTTCCATGTTTTCTTCAGATTGTATTCTTTGCGATGGTTCTAACAACATGACCCTAATTTCCTTCTTTGTCTTTTAGAGTCTTTGCGCGAATTCTGTTTGGCTAGAACTGGTGAAATAAGTATTTATCTCCTGCACATTGCATTTTGGTCACCTTGATTAGCGGGGCCAACACAGAACTTCCTACTATAATTTGAAACAGTACCAAAACCATACATTGCAGTGAGAATAAAGTATACCTGAGGGTGAAATTCACTGTGATTAAAAGGCAACGATAGCTTGGATCAGATTAGGCGTTTTTGTTTTACTATGCTTATAAATTTGAAAATCTGTTTTTTAAAAACTGAAAAAACAACAACGTGGGCAGGCTGGATCGTTAAAAAAAAAAAAGTTCCCATTTTGAAAGAAATGAGTAAAGGTCTGTGACAAAGTGGACAGGACCAGCTAAGAACAAATGCTTCAAGTGAGGTCGGCACGTAGCAAAGCTACTCCTCCCATAAAGGAAGGGGCTTGGGAAACGGCTCAGCTTCTTGGACTTTTTCTCACAAAGCATCTATAACCTTGTCAGAGCAGGGAGGGATTTTTCAAAGCTGCAATGCCAAGTACGTTCACCAGTAAGCAAGACATCTACTATCTCTGCGTTGAGAAGAAACAGACTGTACTATTGGGTGGTCCAGGTCCCAACCCACGGTTATTTTCTTCCCTCGAGTCTAGATCGCTCTACGGTCTAGATTTTGCTTTCTCTCTCCTCTCTCTCCCTTGTTTTTTCTTTTTTCTGTTTTCGGTACATGCCTTGTGGTGTGCAACTATCACCACAATCAACTTCAGAACATTTTTATCACCTCCCCCCAAGAAACTCGGTACCAATGATCCGTCACCTCCTCTTGCCACCCCCCGCCCAACCCCCTCCTCTCGCCCCCCCCCCCTCCCGCCAACCCCTCCTCTCCTCACCCTAGCCCTAGGCAAACGCCAATTCACTCTCTGTCACTACAGATTTGCCTATTCAGGGCATTTCAAATAAAACAAACCCTACAGACCCTACGGTATGTGGACTTTTGCGCCTGGCTTCTTTCCCTCAGCATTACGTTTTGAAGGTTCATCCACATTGTAGTATATATCCATACTTCAGTTTTAGGGTCAAATAGTGTTCAGTTGTATGGGATATCTGTAACAGGGAAAAACTTGGCATGTCTGACTCCATGTGGTTTCGACTTCCCTCGCTGCTATGACCTATGGGTTAAACACTTCCGGTAGCCCCTCACATAGGCATGCTACAGACAAGATCTGCAAAAACGGCTCTTTACCCCAAACCAACCTCAAATGAGGAGATAAAGGAGTGGCTGCAGTGGTCATTGTCCCAAGTCATCAAGATTGAGAAATGATCATAACTCGGGGGGAAGGGGGGGCGGGAATTGAATCCGTGCCCCATACGGTGAATGAGGTTAAATTAGCAGAGAGTTTAAAACTTGTTTTTCAGAGAATCGCTTCCCCTAATCTGTTATTGTGTCTTTCAGACCCCACTAACAAACTCACCAGCTGTCTCTGCAGGAGCCTGGACTCAAGGGATACAGCCCCAGCCTAGGAACAAGCAAGGCCCTACTTTCCTTATCCAGGGATAACTCTATGCCGGCTCTCAGAGCATGCCCATAACCCCTCCTCCTTGCCCCAAGGTAACTTCCCAACATGTCAAGGGCTGAGTTCTGCCTCACTCTGATGTGAAGTCTCCATTCCAAAATAAACTTGGGATGTGTGTTACAGATATGTTCGCTCAATGCACATTCTCCATCTTTCTTTATGGATAATCTTACGTTCCCTCTGCCCCTTTTCACCAGTATAGATGTAGTCTCATCCCTATGATTATAAAAAGCTTGTTCTGTTCCCCTTTGGGGAAGTGGATTTGGCCTTGCCCCCCCATTTCCTCCTCTGGCTGCCTCTTGAATAGATTGTGCCCTTACTGCATACCTGATGTCTCAGCGATTGGCTTTGCTGTGCTTCGGGCCGATGCACTTGGGTTCAGTTACAGAATCCATTCACCAGTTAATGGACATTGGAGTTGTTTCCACTTTTTGGTTATTATGAAATGCTGCCATGAACATTCATGTACAAGTTTTTGTCAATGTATATCTTCATTTCTCTTGTGTATATACCACACTTGTTATCATGTGTAGATTCTCTCTTATACCACATTGTGAGAGAGTATATCGTACCGCAAGTGTGCAATGGGGAATTGGAATGGAGGTCAGCGGTATTGAAATTTGGGGTACAAACCGAGAATTGCTGTGATTTTCAAAAACAGTTGATTCTGTGGGCCCGCTAGGTGAATTCATTATAATTTTATCCTATTATTTTTTCTTTGCTTTCTATCATGCTGGTTTATTCTTTGAAAATGCTTTTCCATTAAAATTAAAAATACTCAGCACAGAAAGTCTACTTCTGAGGCTAAAATCACCTGATCTTAAATGTGCATGTACAAATAATGATTACTATGTCATGGCTGCAAGAGTTAAAATAACTGTAATGCTTACCAGAAAGGGAATGGGTGAATACTTTATGTATCCTATTCAATGGAACACTATGTGGCTAGCATAAACAATGAGTTTGGACCTATATCTTTGAATCTGGAGGGAAGCCCATGATACATATTTAAGTAAAAAAAAAAAAAAAATTACAAGTTGCAGAATGGTGTGTATAGTCTGGTCCCATTTTGGGAAACTAAGAAAGAGAACCAACAGATTATGTGAGTGCTTATGGTTTTGAGCATGAATAAAGGTTAGGAAGGCTAGAAAACTGTTGTGATGATCATTCAGAGGGGACTGTGAGTGAAGGAAATTAGTGATGCTCTATTTTATAGTTGTGAAGTTTTACTTTGCACGTTACTTCCCTTAATCTAAAAAAACATACTATGGGGCGCCTGGGTGGCTTGGTCGGTTAAGCGTCCGACTTCAGCTCAGGTCACGATCTCGCGGTCCGTGAGTTCGAGCCCCGCGTCGGGCTCTGGGCTGACAGCTCAGAGCCTGGAGCCTGCTTCGGATCCTGTGTCTCCCTCTCTCTCTGCCCCTCCCCTGCTCATGCTCGGTCTCTCTCTGTCTCAAAAATAAATAAGCGTTAAAAAAAAATTAAAAAAAAAAACATACTAAAGAAAAAATTGAAGTCTATATCCTTAAAAAAACCCAAATATATATATTTTTTGATTTGCTAATTTTTAGCTCCTGTTCCATAATTAGAATTTTAATTTATTACCTTCTCCTGGAGAAGCTGGATTTTAAAAATCCTTCCTTATTGGTTGTGAAGAAGTTAAGTTATGTAAGAAATGTTGGAACAGCAATATTTGTCTCTCATTTCATTTCTGCCCTTCCTTTCATCACACATGGCTTTGGAAAATGGTGGCTATTCATTCATTTCTTCTATAGTCACAACCCTCCAAATGGAGTTTGGGAAACGGAGAGAAGATTCAATATACACTTAATACGTGGAAATAAAATAATCTGTAATTATCTTTAAATATTTTCCTTGGTTGCTGTGAGTTTGGATGGATTCTCTCTCCTTAGGCACTGACATTCCCCCAACAGTGGAGGATAACACAAAACTACAAATTGGGCAAATATTTCTTATTTGATGCTGGTGGAATTAATGTCACCACCATCTTATCTAGAGTTCCCTGTTTTTGCTGCGTTTGCAAAACGATAAGAAGATCACACAATCTAGAAATGTATGTAACTTTTTCCTCTTTGAGACCTAATGCATATTTTATGGGACAATCCAAATGCTTTAACCTTCTTAAGCTATATTTGTCACTGTTTGAACAGAATACCCACCCTTGAACATGCAACAGAAATTGCAGTGATGGTATAAATCGTTACTTGTAAGGCCCTACACAAAACAACATTTCAAAATTCAACTTTAAATCCCATTAAATACCTTAACTGCCCCACCCCATTTTACACTGTATGTAAAATGCAAGCATCTTCAGCGGCTTGCTCAATTTACCTGGTCATGTGATAGTAACACCCATAACCACATACTGATTATCTCAAGTTCTTAGAAGACGGAGAACATGATCTGTATGTCATAATTAGAATCCGGTTTGTTATTCAAAACACGAGTCTAATGGAAGCCACTGCAGGTTGGCCCGAGGGCATTCATCCTGAACTCAGCTGTGCAGGGCACTTCTGCCAATGAGGACAGGAGACAGAGGCGCCATGGCGAACTTGGTGAGGAGGGTGAGAAGGGGAAACCCCAAGTATATTTGCGAGCAAAGAAAGCAGAGTTAAAATGAATGACCCAGGGCGCCTGGGTGGCTCAGTCAGTTATGCATCTGACCCTTGGTTTTGGCTCAGATCATGATCTCACAGAGTTTTGGGCCTGGCTTCTGGCTCTGTGCTGAGCAGGGCCTGCTTGGGATTCTCTCTCTCTCTTCCTCGCTCTCTGCCCCTCCCCCGCTCATGCGCTCTCTGTCTCTCTCTCTCTCTCTCTCTCTCTCTCTCTCATAAATAAATAAATAAATAAATAAATAAATAAATAATAAACATTTAAAAATGAATGGCCCGAAGAATGTACATTTTCTTCAGGAGAAGATTTGTGGAGTTCCGGGGTGGGGAGGGGCAGCAAACCCGGATAACGGGTTTGAGTCTGGTGACTCAAATCACAAACATTCGGTTGTGAGTCTGCTGACTTGTAACAAAAGAGCATCTCTGTAGGCATGAATCACCAAGGATTTATACACCCAACCCCCAAAACGGTGTCATCTTGACATTGGCAACTATTTGTAACTAGAGAAATAACTTCGCGCTTGGTTTTTATCAAAAAGCATTCCGAAATGAACTTGTTTCTTATTGTCACTTAGTAATTTTTTTTTTTTTTTTCAGAACAATCTAAGACCCGAGTGATCATAACGTGCCTACACCCTGTCTGGCGGTATCTGAGTCAAGCTGCAGTAGGTATTGGTGTAAATATGCATATGGTTGGGCATGAAGCAGCAGGTGTCTAATAATTGCGACTGAAGCGGCACCACAGTGATTCACGATGTGGATCCGAAACTGGCAACGTGGGGAGGACCGGATACAAAATGTAGCAGGAAGCTGGGGGCTCAAGACATCAGACCAATAAAGGCCGAAGCAGGGGGAAAGGATTAATTACCCCCACTGCGTCCGGAGGAGGGCTATAAGCTACATCTATCTGCTCACACCTTCTGGTAGGTAATCTACAAAGCAGGTTGGCCACCAAGCCCGAGAGAAACACTTGCCTCTTTAACAGCCAAAATTAGTTAACAATCAGTTAGGCAGGGGAGCTAAAAGAGGCATCTGAGAGGAAAACATTAACGGGCAACAATGATAAACTGGAACTCTTTAACTTGTGTCTTTAAGTACAGAAACGTAAGGTTGAGTAAACATGACCATCTAAATCCTTTAATCCCGCCGCTGACATTTATAGTGACTGAGAAGGATTAATCATTTTGATCTCTAAATGAATCATTTTAAGTAGTTAATATTTAAAAGTAATAAACTTTGGAGTTGCGGTAATTAGCCTGGTGTATCTGATTAATGTTTCAGGTTTTTGTCTTTCTTTATAAAACCCTAGGCTCACAAAGAAAAAGCTTTCTCTGCATCAGTTAGTGTTTTAGAAAAAAAAAAAGGGTTTCAGATTCCTTTCATTTTTGTATGATGACAGAGGTGAGGGGGAACACTGGGGAAATGAAAAGTTTGGGGTATAACTGGAAATTCATAGCAGCATTAAGTGCTGAATGGTACGACCATATGGTCATATTTCTTTTGAAGTCTAGGATCCGTTCCCATTATTCACTCTAATGGCATCCAAGACTAAACTAAATCTCAGACTTTAAAATTAAAAGCATTTTGCTCTTGGCTCCCAAATCTTCCTCTTTCACAATTTTCAGCATGCTGGAATGTTTAATATATTTTCATAATGCAAAAAAACACAAATAAATAAAATAAAATAAGGGGAGTGAGGAAAAAAAATGAATAGGTCCCATTTCGCTTCCGAAGCAGGATAAAATGGTACAGACAGACACATAATTGTTATCTTAAAGGCGGTGTTAATACTATTTTTACATCAGCCCAGTGCTGTTAGTGACATTCTAAAATGATATGTATAACCTTCATGTTCTACATCTAAGAAATATGAATCTAATTCTTTTGACCTCTCTGGAACATACAGCACAGAGAAAGATTTTTAAATTATTCATCATTTTAGTAATATTCTAGCAATAAAACTTCCCTCCCCCGCCCAAGTAATCTATATCTAAAAGCTAAAAATGGGCCTTTCTCTATCTGGAAATTGATGAAAATATTTGAAAGGCACGGTCCCACCTATATGTCACTAACTCTCTTCATTCTCTCCCTCGGCACAATCCTGATATGTCACGGATGCTATCATTCTAACAGGCAAAATGTCTTTATCCAGCAAAACATTATAGCGCAATGCCAGCGAAAGTTGTTTTTAAGAGGATCGTGGTTATGGTTCGGTAGAGACAATGTGCCTCTGCCCAGCACCAAATGAAATCTCACCCTGGCTGAAGCTGGATGAAAGGAAGAAGGTAAACCCAAAATTTTCCATATTCAGCTACACGTGCAGCCTGCTCTTTCTTTTGTTTTCTTTTGTTTTCTTTTCTTTCCTTTTTTCCTTTCTTTCTCTCTCTCCCCCACTCTCTCTAGTATTACGAATGGATTTTTGTTCTGTTTTCTTCATATTCTTCTATAAAAGTTTTTGAGTAAAGCGATTTTGTTTCTTACTAAGCCAAAACTTCACAATTGTATAGAAAGTCCTCACTTTAGGAGTATCTTGTGTTGAGAAGTCGACAGGGTGGCCGTTGAACAGCATGGGTTTGACTTGCGTGGGCCCACTTACATGTGGGTATTTTTTGATATAGTACAGTGCTATAAATGTATTTTCTCTTCTTTATGATTTCCTTAATAACATTTTCTTTTCTCTAGCTTACTTTATTGTCAGAATCCAGAATATAACACATACAGCATACAGAGCGTATGAGAATTGACTGCTTATGTTATTGGTAAGGCTTCCAGTAACAGTGGGCTATTAGTAGTTAAGTTTGGGGGACGTCAAAAGTTATACGTGGATTCTTGACTGTGTGGGGTGTCAGGGCCCCAACCCCCAAGCTGTTCAAGGGTCAACTGGATATATTTTCCTATGAAAACAACATGTAGGGGGCCATGATAGAATATGTAAGTAATGAAGTTCTCTGTGTCTGAGGAACTGGATGAAAAGTGCAGTAAAGCATGACATCCAGGTACGGAGGCTGTCTCCCTGAAAAAATGTGTTCAGAATTCCAACCGGGAAAACCTCTCACCACCGTAGCCTCTTCCATTAATTTTCCGCTTTCCAAGGTGGGAGGAATATTCCCCAAGCAGAGCACCGGTAGTCACACGGTACACAAATGCTCAGTGAGGGAAGCCAGGTTGGGAGCTTTGCAGTGGGGGGATATGAGCTGGGGTTAGCTACTGCCTTTCTCAGACTAACAGGAAAACCGATCACCTTTCCACATGTTTACCGACTACTTAAATTTGCTCTTTTATGAATGGTTTATCCCTGACGTTTCTCCCATCGGACTGTTTGTCTTTCTGTTTCCAATTTGTGAAAGTTATCTCTTCGTATATTAAAGCTTAGACCTTATATCTGTCACGTGGGTCGTAAACATAATTCCCAAAGTAATAATTTTGTTTATGGTATTTTAATCTACATACCTAAGGTTTTAAATACAAAATTAATCATTTAAGCTTTTTCTTCTGAGTCTTCTGTTTCTATGAGAAGGGTCTCCCCTACTCTCGAGGTGTACGGGTAGTCTCCCGGTCAGGCTGTGTGGATTCACAGCCACTTTTTCCTTGCCTTCCTCTGTTATAAAAGCTGGAAAGCAAAAATAGTAAATGTTCCCTCTTCTCATGCAGCTAAGCGTAGCCAAGTATAACAGTTCTGAAAAAAGAGACGCAGAAAGACATCTCCGGGGAGTAAAAAGAAACAGTCCAAAGGGGAGAAGGACTTCTCACCTTTGCTTTTATTCCGTTTCAGCCAGGAATATGAAAATGCAGCGAACATCTGGGGATCCACAGGACAAAGGCCACATGTTAAGGATTGCAGAGCAAACAAAGAAGGAACCTGGGGCCTTGATGGCATCTTTGAACCCTGCACAGTCCACCTCTAGACTTCTTGTTTTCTGGTTTATAAGTGTTAGATGTTGAAGTCGTCGTTTGGGGAGCTTGCTGCTATTTGTGGATCAAGTCGATCCTACTTTCTCCAGTCTTTTAAATGAACTGGTAGAATTCTTCCTGCTTTTATTTTTTACATTTGTCTTTAATCCATCTTAACTTATTTTTGAATATGCTGAGAGATATGGGTCCAATTTTATATTCTTCCAGATGGATAACCAGTTGTGCCAGCACCATTTATCAAATCCCACTGAATAGAAAAACCATTTTCTGTTTCATGCTGAATTCCCCTATATACTAGGATCTATTTCTGATCTATTTCTGATCTATTTCAGTCTATTCCACTGATTGACTTATCCTTATTTATGCCAATATCGTATAGATGTGATTGCAGTGGCTTCATAGGACTTAATATATATATGATATATGTATTTATATATATTATATATTAATGTATATAATACATATTTATATATATTATATAATATATTAATATATACAATACATATATATTATATGATATATTAATATATGCAATACATATATATTATATAATATATTAATATATACAATACATATATATATTATATAATATATTAATATATAATACACATTTATATATATTATATAATATATTAATATACA